ATACGCGGCTGGGCTTATTAACCGTGGGCTTAATAACCGGCGACTACTGTAGCAATATCGCGTCGGGTCCATAGGCACTTTCGAAAGCTTGAGAAAAGTCGTCGAGCTGCGTCAATTGGGGGGAAAATGTCATCCTTACTTTGTACATTCGGCAGCAACCTCGCTCCGAGGTACTTGAAACTGTCTACTTCAAGCTGGCAGCCACAAATCTCGAGAGATGGCTTCTCTTGTGCAGATGGGCAGCATGAAACCACTTTGGTCTTCCCAGCGTTACGATTTAACTGTTCCAGTGTCCTTAATATATGTTCTACAAAGGCACGTAATATCAGTTATTCATTGGTGCCATAAAATATAATATTTCAGACTACACCGCGTTTGGCTTCAATCTTAATATAACTCGGAAGAAATAAATCATGTGCCGTTGACTAGAGGCAGCAGTAATAATTGCTTCTTCGTGTTGAAGTCTTTGTGCAGTCACGACTTACGCGAGTCTTATGGCGCTCTAAACGCGCCAAACCATTGAACTTTTGACCTATGGTAGGCAAAGCTGTCCGTAAACCTCTGAATTATGAGACGCATACAAATAGTGAGCGTGACTGCTAGGAAAGCCTGCCGAGTTCTGCAGGCTGGAAGTGGACCTATGTACATTGATTGTCTTTAATTGCGAAACAAAAGCTTTTATTGACACAAATTCTCCTTATCGGTTTCAGAGTCACGCAGGGCGACCTGAGTCTGCTCTTGCGGGTGGCTGTCAACGACTTTTGCATCCCCGACTTCCCCGCCTTCAAGGAACGCATTAAACAGCTTTATGAACAGTGCTCCGACTGCACCGAGGGTCAAGTGGCAAATTACATTCCCCAACTAGCCAAGGTTGATCCGGATCTCTGGGCCGTCTCCATATGTACCGTGGATGGGCAAAGGTAAGCGTCCCCTACCGAAACCTGTTCTTGTAAATACTGTCAAATGGGCAGTCAATGAGAAGAAATCGATATGATCACTGAGACAATCATTTGTTTTGCCGGACTTTTTGAAATCTGTCGCGAATCCATCATCAGAGACAGCATCAGAAACGGGTAGTTGGCAGAAGTTCCGTTGAGAGTGGTCTTTATTTCAAGAAGCCCTAGGTTTGTGTTGTACGGGAACCGTGAGAATGGGGTTTTTATGTGTGGTGAAAATGGATGGACGCAAAAAGGAATTTGTAAAATCAAGTACAAAAAATCGTAAACTTTTGTTGAAATAGTTAAATGCGGCGGCTATATAGTGACGGCGTTGGGCGCGTAAATCGAAAAAAAGGCGCGAAAAACAAATCATGCTCGCATCGAGCTCGAACCGATGTCGATAAACCTGGAAATGTGGAGTTTTATTCCTTTCCTTTCTCCCAAAACCCAGCAATAATGGACTTTCTAAAAGACTTTTTGTAATATTAATCGTTTATTACTAATAATAGAAAAATCTGATAAAACATATTACTGTACAAATGCATAAACTAGTCATATGCAATTTTAAATAGTAGAATTCTAAATGTCCTGTGACTGGCTGCTGTAAATAACCGGCTGTGTTGTGGCCGGTCTACATGGGGACTAAATTGAAACAAGCCGCATACCACATGTCACTCCCTGAGCTAAGATATGTGGACATATCTTTGGTGTGGTTGTTCGTTGACCATGGGCGAGGTCACTGAAGAACATGTATATAACATCATCAGTAACCGCTTTTGGACCAACGGTGGTTGCCTGTAAGTTGGGGGTGTTCGCTGACCCTGGGCGAGGTTATTGAGCCTCATTTTTCTTTTCTCACGATCGTCAATACTCCAGATGATGTACGTCACTGTCCACTTTCTTGCGTAAAGGTGCCTTCCCTCTGTTAAACCGAAACGGCACGAAAAGTATTTTCATGCGGTCATCAGCTATGTATCTTAGGCAAAAAGCTAATCGCGATTATGTTAAGGTAACGAATGGCAACTGAGGTGCTCTTACGTTAACTCGAAGGCTATAACACGTCTATAGAAGCGATCGTATGGTTAGGGCAATAGGAAGGGAAATCCAAGAGAAAACCCGCGTGCTGTAGGCCAGAATTTTGTAGCAGCCTTGCCAAGCCATTCAAGTTCTAAATCAATAGGCCTACTGCCCTGAATCAAGTCAAACACCACCGAGCAATTAAAAACTAGGCCTACTGAAATGCATTTAGAAAGCATTTAAGTATCTTGTAAAATGCAGGTGCTACCGAGGGAATCTCCGCCGGGTAGTTTATACTCAATCAGTTACAGACTTTATAGAACACAGTCACCATGATACTGCAAAATCAAGGCAATTACCGGCTCCCCTATCGAAGATAATAGCCCACTTTTGCGCTGTCTGCCTAATGGCCGAAGTGCGGGCCTTGATCTGCTAAACTCTGATGATACGTGGTGAAGTTGGACATGAGGATAACTTGGCAATTTGGCTCCCTGGAGCTGGTATTAGACGTCGCTTTGGGTTGTGCGCCCCCCCCCGAGTGACGAGTTGCTTTGGTCCAACTGAGCCTCACCATCGAATATGGATTGGACTATATATGTCGTGAATGAAATATAGTCGAGTTATTCAGTACGCACTAGCCGAACAGTCGAGGAGATTGAAGAATTAAGTACCCTAGAATAGGGCTTTACTCATCTTATAATTTTCGTACAAAAACCAAAAAGGGACGAAGATTGGTTAGAATTATATAGACAATAAGTGAGCGTTCAATAGTTGAGAATATTCGAGTCCCAGGAAGCAGTTCAGAGAAAGAAGATGCGATCACTGGAACAAGAGTTTCATTTGTCTGACGTTTCGGATT